AGAATAAGAGCAACAGAATAATTGAAACCACATCTAAACCCACTTCCTTGTTATTTACCAATATCATCTAAAGAACACTGTTCAGATGCTGATGTTAGACAATCTTGAGTGGACAACATTAAATCAAATTCAGACTAAAAAATATCAAAAGAATTTTTGACAAGGGTTAAAAGTTTATAGCCTTGAAACTACAAAAAATTTGTTGCCTACTACAAACCACATCCCGGCAATTGTCATGTCCCTACAACGGACTCCTTGAAATAGTTTTGTTGTGGTTGAGGCAATCATCTCAGAATTAATAATTAGCTACTATTCAAATCAAGTGTAATTTTTCTATTTTACACTAGATCACTTTTTTAAAAAAGAGAAAAATTTCATTTTTAGCAACTAACATTGAATGTTATTATAATCATTCGTCATCCTATGTAATGCAATAAAAAAAAGAAAAGTATGTTTTTTGCCACTGCATGAAATCATAGTCACTTTCTACACAGCTGAAATTAAGTCCAAATGTTATCTGCTTAATGCAAGTGAACATTTATATAAAAAGAAGACAATTAATACTTTTTATTTTTAAAAAGGTGAAGTTTCTTATTATGTTTCTTTAAAATGTATCTAGAAAAAGTACTTATTTACATAAAGCAGATTGTAATCATTTTGTGGTTTGGCTTTTGGATCTAGAAGCTATAAATGTTATCTTGAAATGTTATCCAAATGTTATCTTGAAAGCCAACTGAAGTTAGTTGATTCTCTATTATTAAGTTATAATAATTATGATAACAATTATGTCAATAACCAACTTTTTAATCTCAGCATATTTCTAACACTGTGAAATATTTTTTTCAATAACTTAATAAAATTAATGTTAGTCATCAGTAAAATACTTTCTAATTTACAAAGCATTTTTCACATCCTTTATTGCATTAGATCCTCAAAACAACCCTGTTATATTGGTATAGTGAATATTTGTAGATTACGTCCTCAAAATCCACTTTCCTCTCCTGTGGCCAAAAAATAACCACACCATACTTTGGGGGAATCGCCTCTCCTGGTCTCAACCATACAGTTTGTATAGAATTAACTCCAGTCTTAGTACCTGGGATGGCTTAAGCCAATCAGTATATTTGTTCTTTCAGGCCTCAGTAATCAGTTTAGGAATGATCACTGAAACCAGGGAAATACATGTTTTGTTTTCTGGGACTTCTAGGAAAGGGAAGTTCCCTTTTCTTCTATGGAAACTATTGTAATATTCTGAAACCCTCCTGAATGATACATTATAAGAATGTAAGATCTGGAATCAGAATCTCTACAACTTTAGCACCACATAAGGAAGGATGGAGGAAAAGGGAGAGAGAAAGAAAAGGCAGAGAGCACAGAAGAGGAGTAAAAACAGGAAAGTAAAGAAAGATAAGCAAGAAAAAGACAGGAGAAAAGAGATGCCCAGGCTAGAGAAGCACACATCAGGAGAAATGAGGGAGCCCAGAGCCCAGGAATAGGACAAAGGCAAAGGGAAGAGAAAAACAGAGCTCAGGCTGCAGTGGGTTCAGAGAGTGAAAATGTTCTTATCACCCATTGCCTTGTATTTCAGGTAAGCTTTAGCATAAATTATTATCTGTTACCACTGCCCTCTGGAGCTTTCCAGCCAATATTTATAGCCCAGAAACTATTCTGAATGGAGCAACTGTAGCAAGTATTCAAGGAGACATATTCTTTGGTTGAAAAAACCATCAACTAATAAAAATAACAGATAAGAGAAACAGAAGCAAAAAAAAAAAAAGGCCTTGAGAAATTAAAATCAAAATTCCTAAACATTCCTAAACAATCAAAATTCCTAAACAGTGTTAGGGGAGACCCCCTAACACTCTTGGCCTAGCCAAGTTCTCTGACTTTGTCTCCTGCCATTCCCCACTCACATTCCAAGCTCCAACTTTGTCATATCTCTTTGCCCTGGCATTTGCCATTAGCCATGCCAGGACTACACCTCTCTCTCACCCCCAACTTGGTGAACCCCTACTCATCCTTCAAGCTGTAGCTCACATATGACTCCAACTCTCCCATATGACTTGGCTGCCTCTGCTACTAAACCTGTAACAGATGTGTCACCTCCCTTTCCTAGCCCAGCTAGCACAGAGCCTGGGACACAGGGAGTGCTTTGTTGATTAGAGTTGAAACTAATTCCAGTTGTGCTATGACTTTAAATGCCATTTTTCTAAAAATTCTTATATTTCAGCAGAAATACTTGACTGTCAGTTAAATCCCATGATAGTCTTCACTGACTGGATCAAAACATGGTAGGTAATGATCTAGAAGAGCCCATTTTGTTGCACTATCTTTTTGTGACTCTTGCTATGTTTTGTGTGTGGGATGGGGTGGGGGCCTTGCTATGTGTTCGCCACTGAGTGCCTGTTTGCTTTCTCTGCCTCTTACTCAAGTTGCCTTCTCCCCTGGAGCTTCGCCACAGGAAAGCCTAAAGCTTGCCTGCCTCTCAGTGCTAGAGCTTTTACCTTAACAAAATAGGGAAAAGAGATCCAGTTGGGATGTCAGAACCAGAGATCTTGCTGTGACTCTAATGCTTAAGCAAGTAAACCATTCTTGGCCTCAGTTTCCTTGCAAGTAAAACAGGAATAAAAATTCCTGCCCTACCCACCTATCTCAAGTGATCAATTACTGTTGAGGATCATATAAAATAGAAGATGTGAAAGTTCATAGCTCTAAGATAAGATATATTGGATGTTTTTTGTTAGAAGATAATTAATGAGTCTTAAACTAATTTTAGCAAGCTTTGACTAAATTAACAACAGTACAATAGGCCAAATCACTGTATAATAGTACAAAAGCAAATTATGTCATCATTAGCTGTTTATCAAGTACTTATCCTAAGTCAATGGATTTCTACCTTTTTCTCATCTTCCCTAACAAACCTAAGGGGCTAAGAGGCATTCCCATTGGTACCAGTGGTTCTCCCACTGATCTCCAAGAATTGGGAAAGCCTGCTATTTGACAAACACTGGACTGGGCATTGAGGTTGCCATGGTAAACAAAAACAAGCATTGTCCCTGCATTCATGGAATTTGCAGTCTCAAGGAAACATGGACAATAAACATAGACATGCACACAACAAAAATGACTGGACTATATATCTGTGTGTATGTAGGCATGAGTTTGCTCTCACTGTGTCCTCACTTTGAAAGAGCTCTGCAGGTAATGCCACCCACCCCCACTGCCACCCCCAGGGAAACACACAAATTCACATGGTGAATCATTAGTTAGGTGCTGGAAGAGAATTAAACTCTATAATACAAGAGATTTTTTTCAAAAGCTAATTAATTAATAATTGAAATATAGAGTAAAGCAGTCTAGGTAGAGATCAGGAGAGCTACATAAAGTCCCAACTCCAGAACCTTCTACATCACTTGTGAGGCCTGGTGCAAAATGAAAATTATAGGGCTTCTTGTCCAGAAATTATTAAGAATGTCAAAGTAGTGATAGCAGAACATTTAACTAAGCCCAGAGCCCTCTACAACAGCACAGGTCACATGCCCATGAAACCTTCAGGGCTTCCACACTTATTAGTGCAACTTTTATCCAGTCACTAAACCTACCTCAGGTTTAAAACCTACCTCAGCTATTAAATTAGGTGAAAGAAGAAAAGACTTTCAGCTCCTTCCCATAACTAACTTCTGTGGTTCTCTATTAAGGAACGAAATCATTCATTTGAAGAAAGCTCTTTTACCCTTTAAAGAATCATTAAAATTCTGACTGTGACTCAAAGCTACTGTTATGTAAAAACCCATACGTAGTATTTCATCTTCAACCATATTGATGTTTTTTATTTCTATACACCTCCTTAATTTTGCCTAAGAGAAAAAAATATCCAAGCAGTGTTCCAAGTTTACTATTTTCCCATGTATGCCTTTTAAATTTGAAATTCCCAACTGAGGTCTCTATATCCAGAAAGTAGTTTTTCCCACAGAAAAATGTCTCCTTGCACAAATTAGATATTTTGTTTTTCTATCCCTGAAAAATTATCTATTCAGAATCAACTTCCTCAAATGGTACAGCATCTGGGTCTGATCCAGTAAAAAGGAGGACAAATGTCATTTTGAGAGTGAGTTAACCCTTTTATTCCACCAGTGTAGTATGTAGCACAACATAACTGATAACTATCTAAACCAGAGGGTCTTAATCTGGAGTCTACGGACATATTTCTAGGAATTAATCAACTTGAGTGGAAAAAAATTATACCTTTATTTTCTTCAACTTCTAGCTAAAATTTAGCATTTTCTTCAATTATTAATGCTGGCTACAAATCAAGAGTATTAGCAATACCTATGACTTGATCGCCAATTAAATATTACACATATTTTCATATCATATTAGAGTTATTACAGATACATTGAAATATCATTTATGCTCAACATTACCACAGAATTTTAATAGTATTAAACCCACTGCTAAATCTCATGATTTAATATGCTAGTAAAAATTATATATAACACAAATTTGATTTTTACATTGAATAACTATATTTCAATATCACTGGCTTCATTTATAATCCTAAGTATCTCATTATATGTGTTTAAAAACATAATTCCAAGGAAAGATCCACAGACTTCACCAGACTACCAAAGGGGTCTATGGCACATAAAAGGCAAACTCAAGTCAAAAGAAGTTACAGAGCTCATGTGATAAAATAGAAACAACTGTACTCCTATCTCACAAGTAGTAATAGACCCATTCCAGTAAAAACAACCTGTAACATTCTAGTCCAACAACAATGTCTACATTACAACAAAATTTTCATAGCCCATTTGTTTTACTATGAAAACACATACATCAAAACAGAGCAGATTTTGTTGTGGTGGTGGTAGTGTTTCTTTCTGTTATTTTGGGGTTTTTTTTAAATTGTTTCAGTACATGTGATCATAGGATTTTATCAGAAAAGGTAAAACCCAGATACAGTTTTATGCCATTATCTAAAATGTTATTTGGATCAGTACCTGAGATGACAGTAGGTTACAATCAATGAACAGTCCTTTTCCAGTTTTGTATCTTTGTATCAATCCAGCCATAATGGCTCCATATGCGTACAGGCCAGTGGCAAGATCAGTCATAGCCACTCCTGGGCGAACTGGCTCTCCATCCTGATTTGAGGGTTGGGTTGAGAAAAACAGAGAAATTAAAAATTAAAAACATCATATGATTTCTCAACTATTATAAAATCAAATACAAGGAAGAATTGTATACGAAGTGTGCACACACACACACACACACACAAAAATACAACAAGTTATTATTGTGGATATTCATTGATGACAATAATGGATTACTCACTGTGTGTCTCTCCCCAGCCCCTACTAACCTAACTAAACCAAACCAAATGAAATAAAAGATGTTTCAGATGTGTTTTAATTCCTTTTTAATATATTTCACCTTGCTTATACTAAAAAAATACATAAAAAGTGAATTTCACTTTGAATGAGTTAATCTGTTGGGGAGGAAAGAATTAAACCATTATTTTTCTCCTGTTGGATGTGAGGCTCTCTCATAAAAAAAGGAAGGCAGAAGATCTGAGCTAATCTTATAATTATGCTAATAGCTAGCAAATATGCTAATGGTATTTACTTAAAATATTTTTTAAGTACTCATAAAAGGCTTTTAGCAAAATACTGCTGATTTAGGATTACTATGATAAACAAACCTAGAATCTATAGATGTATGGGACATGGGGCATGTAGAACAGGGCATGAGCTATGCAACTATCTGGGTGTAAAATGGAGATGTTGCACAGTCTGTAACGCTCTCTGCTGTGTTAGATAACCCATGTACCTCATTAAGGATCTTATCTACTGAGCCGGGCTTGAGAGTTTTGCCTATTGTGGTAAGAAATAATTTTGGAGGGTCTCTCAATGTCTAGGACCTCTCTCTCTGCTTCTCCTGTGCCTTTTGATTGCTTGTATCTTTGAAATTATAAGCTTGATACTGATTAACACCTCCAATTTACATCAGTCTGATTCAACAATCCAATTGTTGGCCCATATATAAAGATATTAGAACAGTGCCTGACATACAATAAGTACTTTATAAAAATCACTTATCAAAATAATCAACATTATTATTAGTCATTGTTATATCAGACAGTTTGTAATTTTCACTACCGTTAATTATGCTAAGACTTTCGTTGGACAGAAGACCTAAAAAACTCCCACTTTCCCATTTCTTCTGATTGATATGTTCATTCACCTACTTATTAATTAATTTCAGCTGCTGCTGAATCATTTTCAGAAGCTAATTTTTCCTTTTCTGCAGCCCATACGTAAACCATGTTAATCATCTTACAAGAGTACTAAAAAATGTTAAAAGCAAGTAAGTGAGACCATATAGTGGCTAAGCTTATTTTTCTCTGCTTTTCAACACAATTTCAAGGAAGATATTACCATGAAAACTGGGACTGTTTGGCAGTCTTCTAACTATTATTATTGTCAAAACTTGTAACATAATGACTTGAATCCATAAATTTAAAATTAAATTTGTCATTGGTATTTAAAATTACTAAATGTATTAAAAATGAGAGATAAGTTCAAATTTAAGTTTATATCTATAAACTTAAATTTATATTTAATTTTAAATATAAATGAATATATAGTTGACCTGTAAAATGAATATACAGTTGAGCCTTGAACAACACAGGTTTGAACTGCATGGCCCACTTACATGCAAATTGTTTTCAATAAATGTTATACCAAATCCACCTGCCTCTCCTGCCTCCCTTTCTACCTTCTCTACATCTTCAATTTCTCCCACCCCTGAGAGAGCAAGACCAAACCCTTCTCTTCCTTTTCCTCCTCATCCCACTTAACATGAAGATGATGAGGATGAAGACCTTTATGATGATCCACTTCCACATAATGAACAGTAAATATATTTTCTCTTCCTTATAATTTTCTTAATAGCATTTTCTTTTCTCTAGCTTACTTTACTGTAAGAATACAGTATATAATACATAAAACATACAAAATATGTTGTTAATCAAATGTGTTATCAGTAAGCATTCTGGTCAACAGTAAGCTATTAGAAGTTAAGTATTTTAGAAATCAAAAGTTATATGAAGATTTTCAACTGCACAGAGGGTCAGTGTCCCAACCTCTGCATTGTCCAAGGATCAACTGGAGGCATATTTTATCTGCTACACTTCTCAGACCAATATGAATAATTAAGATAATAAACCTTTTATATTTTAAATTTCCTGAAAAGGAGGGACTATACCTGATTAATATTCTAAGAACAGCATTACATTATTCAGAATAATAATATGAGGTATGTGAACAATAAATAAACACTAATAATAATTCAATAAATTATAAATAATTAAATAAGTCATCATATATCACAGACAACATTGTCACTGGTAAAAATGACCATTTGTGCCCAAATAATTTTAAACATTAATTGAGAGAGTCCTTATAACACACTTGGATACAGAAATATGAATATGTTGAAAATAAAAGCATGGAAAAAGATGTATCATACTGTAAGGAAGCTGGAGTGGCTGTGTTAATATCAAACAAAATAGACTTTAAAACAAAAAAATATATATTACCAGAGAAAAAGGAGATATTTTATAATGAAAAAAGTGCCAAAAAATTTGGAAGATATAACAATATAAACACATACACAGCTAACAAAAAGCCACCAACATACAAAAACCAAAAAATGACAATTTTTAAAAGAGAAGGCAGTTCAAGAATAAATAATAGGAAATTTCAATATGCAAATTTGAATAGTGAATGAAACAACTAAGTAGAAAATCAATAAAGAAGTAAAAGGCTTAAATAACAGTATAAACAACTATACCTTTAAAATACTTATTAAAAAATCCATCCAACAATAACAAAATGCACATTCTTCTCAAGTGCATCTGGGATATTCTCCAGAACAGCTTGTACTATATACTAGAATGCAAAACAAGCTAAAATAAATTTTAAAAGAGTAAATTCATATAAATATGTTCTCAGATCACAACGTAATAAAATTAGAGTCAATAACAGAAGCATATCTGGGAAACTCAAAAATACATGGAAAGTAAACAACATACTCCCAATACTTCAATAAGTAACAGAGAAAATCACACAGGAAATTAGAAAATATTTTGAGATGAGTGAAAATAAAAGCATAGCATACCATAACTTATGAAATGCAACTAAAGCAGTGTTTGAGGAAAATCTGTATGCTTATATTAAAAAAAAAGAAAGATCTGAAATCAAGAACCTAGTCTTCCACCTTAAAACAATGGAAAAAGAAGAGCAAACTACACCCAAAGCAAGCAAAGGAAGGAAATAATAATATAGATTGGAGCAAGAATTAATGAAATAGAGAATAGAATACCAATAGAGAAAATAAAAACAAAAGTTGATCCTTTGAAAAAAATCAATAGAATTCACAAAACTGGATGAACTATCCAAGAAAAAAAGAGAAATTTGAATTATTAAAATCAAAAAGAAAGTACATCACTAACAACTTTACAGAAATAAAAAGAATTATAAAGGAATAACATGAACAATGATATGGCAACAAATTAGATAACCTAGATGAAATGGACAAATTTCTAGCAAGACATACTACTAGAAAGACTAATCTAGAAAGACTATTGGAACTGACTAAAGAATAAATTTTTAAAAGTGAATATGAATATAAAAATTAGATTGAATCACAAAAGTTCCAACAACAACAAACAAAGACTAAACTTTTTTTTTTTAATTCACTGGTGAATTCTACTAAATATTTAAAGAATTAATACTAATTCTTCACAATCTCTTCCAAAAAGTATAAGAGGAGGGAACACTTTTCAATTCAATCTATGATATATTATACTGAAATCAAGCCATACAAGATATGAAAATAAAATAAAACTATACACCAGTATCTCTTAGGAATGTGAACACAAAATCCTCAACAAAATACTAGCACAATGAATCTAGCAATATGTTAACTATAAAAAGGATTACACACCACAATCAATTGGGATTTTTCCCAAAAATGCAAGCTTGGTTTAACATTTGAAAATCAATCAATATAGCACACCATATCATTAGAATAAAAGATAAAAGCAACATGATCATTTTAATAGATACAGAATAAGCATTTGATAGAAGTCAAGACCTTTCATAATAAAACACTCAACAAAATAGGAATAGAAATAAACTTCTTCAACCTCATAAAGGGTATCTATTATAAAAACACAATAGAATACTTAAAAGTAAAAGATTGAATGCTTTCCCCTAAGATAAGGAACAAGACAAGGACGTCTATGTTCACCACTTTGATCCAACATTATACTGGAGGTTTTAGCCAGTGCAGTTAGGAAAGAAAAATAAATAAAAATGATTTTAGATTGCAAAGAAAGAAGTAAAACTATCTCAATTTAGAGATGATGCAATCTTATACATAGAAAATTCTAAGGAATCCACTAAAAACTCATAGATCTAATAAATGAGTTAAGCAAGACTGCAAGATAAAAAAGACAATATACCAAAATCAATTGTATTCTACACAGTAGCAATGAACAAACCAAAAATGAAATTAAGAAAATAATTCTATTTAAAATAGCATCAAAAAGAATAAAATATTTAGGAAAAAGTTTAACAAAAGAAGTATAAACCTATACTGTGAAAACTACAAAACATTGTTGAAAGACATTAGAGAAGACCTAAACAAATAAAAAGACATCTCATGGCCATGGATCAGATGACTCAATATTGTTAATATGGCAATGCTTCCCAAATTGATCTACAGATTCAAGGCAATTCCAACTATCAAAATCCTAGGTATCGTTTTTGTAGAAATAAAATCTGAACCTAAAATTCATACGGAAATACCAGCGACAAAGAATAGCAAACAATTTAGAAAAAGAATAACAAAGTTGGAGGACTCATACTCCCCTATTTCAAAATTACTACAAAGCTACTATAATCAAGACAGCATGGTCCTGGCGTGAGAGACATATAAACAATGAGAATACTCAGATTTATGTGCAAGTAGTTTTTAACAAGTATGCCAAGACAATTCAATTGAAAAAGAACAGTCTTTTCATAAAATGGTAAAAAGAATGCAAAAGAATGAAGTTGGACTCCCTCCTTATAGGACA